GGGGGGTTCCGGCTGCGCAGAAAGGCACCCACACTGAGCATTGGCTTTTCTTTGGGCCAGGTGAGCGTTGCGATTTTCCTGTCTTTTCGCACTCCGACAATGAAGAGTCGGTTTCTAAGTTGCGGCAGGGACCCGTGGGTGTGGCAACCCAAAACTTGCCATTGGACGTCATAAATGTCCAAGCCCATCAGAAGCATCATCACCAACAGCAAGGTCTCTCTGTGACGAGTAGCGAAATCGCCCACATTCTCAAAGACAAAAGCGATTGGCCTGTGCAGGTAAACCCACGCCACAAGCCAAAAGACCACCATCCCGCGACCTGCAGAATCTGCTATGCCTTCGTTCTTTCCTGCAGCACTAAACGGCTGGCAGGGAAAACCTGCGCAAAACAGGTCCCCGCCGGGAGACTTCAGGAAGGAATGCGAGCAAGCATCTTGAAATTCATGGTGGTGTCCATGCATTCGAGCTCCTAATGCCCGCACTTTGGAGTCCAATTCACAGCAAGCGCATGCTGTAAAGCGCTTTTGCATCATTTCCAAAGCCAAAAGTTCTGATGACCACCCGCTGCACGCGCTAACAACTGTAAGTTTGTTCTTGTGGTGCTTTTCTGTGCACCTTTGCAGATGGGGCTTCAACCATGCTAAGCTCCATACCCACCCCAAAACTTCTCTGCACAGTCGTTCCACATCTGGCGCGGACAGAGCAGTCAAGTCTTCTTTTGGCGGTAACTTGGCAGCTGCAGGCTTCTTCTTGACAGCCGCTTGCTGCTTGGCGGGCTTCTTGACTTGTCGCCACTTGCCCGCCATCGTGAATCATGAGTCTGGAAAATGAAAGATTTGATTCAGAACACGCCGGCGGCATCTCAGTTGATAAAATGGCATTTATGCTTGTGCTCGACAGATAAAATGGTATTTATGCGCCATTACGGCGCAGTCACAAACAGCTTGTAGGTTTCAAACACATGTAAAACTGCAAAACCGATTCCAAAAGCCAATGTGTTCGTGGGCTCCGCGCTGACTCCTCATCGTCCAATCCATGGAGCTGCTCGTCAGCCTTGGCAAGAGCGCGCAACATTCAGCAGTGAAGAATTTAAACATTGGCAGCGCTACATGCTATCACAGCGCTATCACAGCGCTGCATGCTACTATCACTCTGAGGCATGAGCATGACAAGAACAGGGTATGATGCACCTCGCTGCCTGGACATCAACATCTTGAGCAATGTCTTTTTGTCTCACAGAAGCGCTATCACAGCGCACTGATCATCCAAGTCTGAGGCACGATAGGCACGCAGCCAACTTCCCCTTGACCTTGGCACATCCAATCACTCATCCAATCAACATCCAAAACAATCCAATCACTCATCAAAACAATCCAATCAACATCCAATCACTCATCCACGCATCCACGCAGCGGCCAGCATTTCTTTCCGGGTCACCGCCGAGCGTCATGCCTTCCATTTTGGAGCAGGGCGCGGATCCTCAGGGGCGAGTTTGGGGCCCTTGAACTTGATCGGCTCATCGGCGGCTACCTTCTTCCTCTTCTTGCCATCTTCCTGCAGAAGAGGGGAAAGAGAAAGAAAGATAGATAAGATAGAACACATTCATTGACGAATTATGAGCCTGGGGCCCGGGGTCGTCAGCAGCTTTCTCCAGCTCCTTCCAGAAATTCCAATCCTCATCAGAGGCGTCGGCTCCAGCAGCAGCAGCCGCCTGGGACGAGCGCTATCACAGCGCCATCCAATTGGATTTGCTTCAATGTCCCAGCCTTTGCAGAGGCCTTTGGCTTCGACCCACTCGCTGCTGCCTTCGGCCCTGCAGTGGCCTTTGCTTCAAGAGGCTGGGGCAGCTTGACCTGCCGTAGGCTTCCAGCAGTGCAAAAGGCAGCACAAACGGTGACCTTCTGCGCAAACTTCTCGAGCTACAACAGCACATTTGACCGGCCTTCTTTTGCTTCGGCTGGGCCCCTGCTTTTGGCGGTGTGGCCTTCCGCTTCGGCGCGGCTTTCGCTTTTGGTGCCGCCTCCGGTGTGTTGCATTGAACAAGGGTGTTGCTTTAAGAAATCCCCCTACCAACTTTCATGCCAATTCAATTGACCCTGGCCTTGCTGGTGGACGAAGAGGAGGAACTGGAAGAGCCTTCGGTGTCCTTTTTGCGTTCCAAGGCTTCGATCTTTTTGCGCAGCTCCTCGTTCGTCTTTTGGAGCCTCAGCAGCAAGGTGCGGCCCCTCGTCCGAAGATCTTCTTTCTCGGTGCGCTCCTTGAAGAGTTGGGCCTGGAGATCAAGTTTCTCCCTCAAAAGCTTTTCCTTCTCAGATTTCTCGCTCTTGACCTCCTTTTCCCTGGTCTCGACCTTCTCTTCCGCCAACCTCAGCTTCTCCTTCAAGTTCTTGAACGACTCCTCCTGCCTGTTCAGGTACCCAGGCGTCGCGCGGTTCCCGTCGGCATCACGCTTGTAATAGCGCTTACCGTCGGCGGTCCAGGAGCTTCCCCAGTTCCATTGGTTTGGCTGCTGCCAAGCCATGCCCGCCACACTGGATGAAATCTTGAAGATGCATGGTTTTGTGAGATTCTCAGTTTCAATTTTCTTTGCTGTCAGATTGGTTTTGGTGTCTAGAGGGTGGTATGTTTTGAGGTGTGGGGATTTGAGTTTCATTGAGTTTCATTGAGTTTCATAGAGGGTGGTATGTTTGGTATGTTTGCTGTGACATTGGGATTTGAGTTTCATTGAGTTTCGTGAGAAGTCTCAGTTAATAATTAACTGTTTATCGGTGGGTGTGAATATGTCGATGCGCTGGTTCCGGGAAGCTGGTAGAGCCGCATATTACAGGAGTGTTATTTTGTTGCTGCCTCCCATTTGAATCCTCTTAACGGCGCTATCACAGCGCCAAGTCATGCTTCTCATTGAACCCTCTTGAAGGCGCTATCCCAGCGCCAAGTCAAATTCAAACCAGAATTTAATTTACATTACACTTACCCAATAATGACCACAGAATCATGTACGCACCAAGAACTTGGTACTTATGCAGCACCCATAGGACATAAATTCTTCACACAAGCTTTGCCAATCTCAAGCGGAGCTGAGCCAACAGCATATTTGAATTGAGTACGCCCTTCGTAGCCCTGGCCTGTTAAAGGGCAAGAAATTAGGGCTGTCCAGCACCAAAAGGATTATGGTACTTATGCAGCACCCATAGGACATAAATTGGTACTTGTCCAGCACCAAAAGGAAACAAATTGACACAGCAACCATGGCCTTGGCAGCTCGA